GCAATTAGATAAGAGAGAGAAATGAAAGGAATAAGGAAAGGAAAGGAGGAAGTGAAATTATCATTATTCACAGATCACACAACACTCCACACAGAAGATCCCAAAAACTCCACAAAAAGGCTTATAGATTTAATAACCAAATTCAGTAGCAGATCTGGATACAAAGTCAACATTCAAAAATTAATAGTATTCCTATACTTAAACAACAAGCCCACTGATAAAGAAATTAGGGAAACCACACCTTTTCCAATAGCCAAAAAAAAAAAAGAAGAAGAAATATTTAGGAATCAGTCTAACAAAGGAAGTAAAAGATGTATATAGTGAAAATTAGAGTACTCTGAAAAAAGAGATCAAAGAGGATTTGAGAACATGGAAAGATATTCCTTGCTCATGGGTAGGAAGAACCAACATTGTGAAAATGGCCATACTCCCAAAGTTGTACAGATTCAATGCAATCTCATTAGTATACCTCACAGATCTAGAGAAAACTTTCCTAAAATTCATCTGGAACAGGAAGAGACCTTAAATAGCAAAAACAATCCTGGCAACAAAGGAAAGGCAGGAGGCATCACAATCACTGATTTAAAGATATGCTACAAAGTTACAGTGATAAAATCAGCATGGTACTGCCAAAAAACAGACCTGAAGATCAATGGAACAGATTAGAACATGCAGACACAGCTACAAACACACTCAGCCACCTTATCTTTGACAAAGAGGCCAAACACATTCACTGGAAGAAAGATAGCCTCTTGAATAAATGGTGCTGGAAAAACTGGCTATCCATATGCCAAAGACTAAAACTAGACCCATGTCTATCACCATGCACTCAACTAAAGTCAAAATGGCTTTTAAAAAGAGAAAGTAAGTCAAAATCTTGAAGACATAAGAGTAGGCAGACAGTTTACGAACAAAAATTAAACTGCAGGGGAAATACTTCAACTAATCAACAACTGGGATCTCATCTTATTGAAAAGTTTTTGCACATCAAAAGAAATCTCCAACAGGGTAAAAAAGACAACTGACGAATTGGGAAACAATTTTATCCAACTGTCCCTCACACAAAGGACTCCTATCTAAAACATGTAAGGAATAAAAAAAATCAGGCCCCCAAAATTCAAAGACCCAATCCAAAAATGGGCATCTGAGATGAATACACACTTCTCAGATGAACAAATACAAATGGCAAATAAGTATATGAAAAAATAGTCAACAGCATTGATCATTCAAGAAATGCAAATTAAAACAACACTGAGATTCCATCTCACACCAGAAAGAATGGCTGTCATCAAGAAATCAACCAATAACAAATGCTGGAGGGGCTGTGGGGAAAAAGGAACCCTTCTCCACTGTTGGTGGGAGTGCAGACTGGTGAATCCTCACAAAACTAAGATTAGAGGTCCCACTTAACCCAGCTAGTCCCCTTCTGGGTATTTTTCCAGAAAAACTGAAAACATCATACCACACAGATATATGTACACCCATGATTATAGCAGCACAATTTGTTATAACTAAGTCTTGAAACAACCCAAATGCCCGTCAACTGAGGAATGAATAAAACAGATGTCGGGTTTTCATACAATGTAGTATTACTTTGCTATAAAAGAGATAAACTCGAGGCTTTTATAGATAAATGGATGCAACTAGAGACCATATTCGTAAGTGAATTAAATCAAACCCACATGTGTAAACATTGTATTGTCTCCCTAGTGTAAGAACCTGAAAGAGTAAATAAAACCCAAAAAGTACAATGGATATTGTGAAAGGGAAAGAAATTGCTCAAAGAGAAAGAACAACTGGGATGAGGGTAAGGAGAAAAAGAAAGAAAGAAAACAAATATATGTATACAGAAGAATAGCTAGGATACTTGTACTGCTGATGTCTAATGTTTATTGAAAGGAACAGTTAATGCTTAAAATTTTTTGACCAATTTTTCATGCTTATATATATTAATCTGATCAACTAATTTGAAGACGGCAATATGCATTCCTACCATCTTGTTTAGGGAAGCTCTATAGCATTTCTAATTTTATTACTTTTTATTCCCTTTAATTGTTTGATCAGTCTTGCATTCTTACATCTGGTAATCTGAGCACCTTCGTTGAAGATAACAATAGGTAATATAACAACCATTGTTAATTCCTACCATCTTGTTTTCAAATTTTGTATTTTTAATTGTTTTTGTGTTTTGTTTTTGTCTTTGATGTTTTGTTATTGTTTTTCTTTCTATTTAAAATTTTATTTTATTTATTTATTTTTAAATTTTTTTTATTTTAAAGAATAAAAGAAGGATAACATAATAATAGGGGGCACTTAGCAAATTACAGACAAAATGGTAGGAAATTATCAATGGTTATCGTTTTACATATTATTGTCTACAAAATAGTTTCTCAGGAAAACAAA